AGTGGTTAAGTTAGGAGATACATGGCGATGGTTTTTTCACCATTGTAATGGACTCTCGCTACAGGTGTACGTTTAGATGAGTCATGTCCAACTTATACTGGTTGATTTTCAATAGTACAATCTTCTTGTTCTTTAATTATAGAAGTAACCAGCTTCTTAACTCTTTCTTTTGTTTTTTTAGCGTCATTTTTATCAGAAAATCCCTGCACTTTAAATCGTGAATCCATAAACGTACATAATGACAATATGCCACTGTATTCTATCCCTCTAAATCTTTTTGCTAAACCCGAGATTAGTAATTATCCCGTAATTAGTAATAAAAACCCGTACTACGTCGGATACTAACTATGGATGTAAGGTTACTGTTTGCTAAAATTTTATTGCAAGATTTTTGCAGGCAGCGTACCAGAACAATCACTGAACTATCATTCAAGTATTTTTGGCCACTCATTGTACTTGTTATTTCTTTAAAAGGCCGTAAAATTTAGGACAATTACGAAAAAATAATCCAGTCTTCATTATTTAGATTTGGTCTAAGCCTAAGTCTGTATTAACTGATACCAATGTGGAACGGATTGCCTCTTCTAACTCCGTCATTCTTTCTAACATGTAATAGGTGAAGTTCTACCTAGTTTCCACGTCTTGGGTTGGCCGTTTGGGATCTTTGTTATGTTGTAATTGATACTTTAAAGGCGTTTCTGAAGATAAGGTACTTTTTTGAAATGTGTTTTTTGCCGAATTGTCGAAAAAAAGACTTTTTATTTTATCTATTTGTACACGACAGCATTTAAGTGCGTCCTCCATCAATAAATTTAACGTATGAGCAAAACAATTTAAATGTTTTCATTTCAAAGCATATTTAATAGCTATGACCATATTTGAGGCATTATCAGTTACTGCAAAATTTACTTTTTGTTTTAGAACCCCTGAATAATAATTTCACTAATTTTAAAGCCGATGTTTTCTTAATTATGGTTTTCAGAAAAATGGCAGCAGTCTAATTAAACCGTGTTAAACTCTAAATTTTCGGTTAAATTCGTTAAAATCAACTAGTTGATGGTTGAAGCTGGTTACTTCTATAAAAAAAAGAAAAAGAAGATTATACTATTGAAAATTGACTAGTACAAGAAAAAGAAACTGATAAAGATGACTTAAGTCCATGTAAATGTAAGTACTATTTGTATTGTTTAATTTATTTTTCAAGTTATAATAAATATATTCTTCGTAAGTTTCTTTTACTTTAATACTTATACACATAAACGATAATAGCCAATATGTTTGTATACTCGCTAATTTGAATACTGGTAAACAATCAACTAGTTACAGTTTACGAAAATCGGTTCCGATAAAAATTTAAAAAACTAAAGGACCCACCTCTAGTTTCTTAGCTTTATGAGGATCGGAACCACAGAATATGTAAAATATCTCTGATCGGAACTAATCGTCTCACTAACAGGCAAAATGGGCGTAAAGAAGATTTATGGAGGGGAGACCAAGGGGGAATATGATTGTTATCTTTGTCTATTCGCTGAAAATATGATTTTATATCTGTGTTAGATATCCTGTTAAGTTTTACCATACCGACCATACAATTTTACCTACACTGTATATTTGATTTTTAATGGTGATTTTGAATGAAATTCAACAAAGTCTAATAATGTGACTGAAGAAAGTTAGTATCTTATACCAAACAAAAAGAAGAAGTAATTAAGACAGGTGCCGTATCGATAAGTGACAGTCGATACGACACATGACTTAATTAACAATTGTCTTGTCAAAAATAATGCCGGCCACATGGTTATATTAAAATAGAATACATTTAAATATTTAATTTAAGCTTTGTTTGCCATCTTCCTCTAGTTGGGAGATGCGTTTGGTTTGTGTTTAAAAACAATATGTAGTTCCACATCTAGAATATGTTACACTAAGAAATAGTGTCAACGTTAAGGTAATATTAAAAATAACATCTTTATTTGTGATGATTGTAAACAATGTTTTTCCATTACAGCAAGTTCTGATGAAGCCCAAAATTATGTGGCGAAAGCTTGACTTTTAATAAAAGACACTCACTTTGAAGCACCCGTTTTTTATTGCTCCTTAGTATGGGGTCTTTCCCGGTTACCACCTTTAACTGTCTGTTATATATATATATATATATATATATATATATATACATATATATATATATATATATATATATATATATATATATATATATATATATATATATATATATATATATATGTATATATATACAGTGTAGGTAAAATTTTATGGTCGGTATGGTAAAACTTAACAGGATATCTAACACAGATATAAAATCATATTTTCAGCGAATAGACAAAGATAACAATCATATTCCCCCTTGGTCTCCCTTCCATAAATCTTCTTGACGCCCATTGCCTGTTAGTGAGACGATTAGTTCCGATCAGAGATATTTTACATATTCTGTGATTCCGATCCTAATAAAGCTAAGAAACTAGAGGTGGGTCCTCTAGTTTTTTAAATTTTTATCGGAACCGTTTTTCGTAAACTGTAACTAGTTGATTGTTTACCAGTATTTAAATTAGCGAGTACACAAACATATTGGCTATTATCGTTTATTTGTATAAGAATTGAAGTGAAAGAAACTAACGAAGAATATATTTATTATAACTTGAAAAATAAATTAAACAATACAAATAGTACTTACATTTACATGGACTTAAGTCATCTTTATCAGTTTCTTTTTCTTGTACTAGTTAATTTTCAATAGTATAATATTCTTTTTCTTTTTTTTATAGAAGTAACCAGCTTCAACCATCAACTAGTTGATTTTAACGAATTTAACCGAAAATTTAGAGTTTAAAACGGTTTTATTAGGCTGCTGCCATTTTTCTGGAAACCATAATTCAGAAAACATCGCTTTTAAAATTAGTGAAATTATTATTCAGTGGGGTCTAAAACAAAAAGTAAATTTTGCAGTAACTGATAATGCCTCAAATATGTTCATAGCTATTAAATATGTTTTGGAATGAAAACATTTAAATTTATTAATGGAGGACGCACTTAAATGCTGTCGTGTACAAATAGATAAAATAAAAATTTTTTTTTTCGACAATTCGGCAAAAAACACATTTCAAAAAAGTACCTTATCTTCAGAAACGCTTTTAAAGTATCAATTACAACATAACAAAGATCCCAAATGGCTAATCTAAGACGTGGAAACTAGGTAGAACTTCACATATTACATGTTAGAAAGAATGGCGGAGTTAGAAGAGGCAATCCGTTCCACATTGGTATCAGTTAATACAGACTTAGACTTAGACCCAATCTAAATAATGAAGACTGGATTATTTTTTAGTAATTGTCCCAAATTTTACGGCCTTTTAAAGAAATAACAAGTACAATGAGTGGCTAAAAATACTTAAATGATAGTTCAGTGATTGTTCTGGTACGCTGCCTGCAAAAATCTTGCAATAAAATTTTAGCAAACAGTAACCTTACATCCATAGTATCCGACGTAGTACGGGTTTTTATTACTAATTACGGGAGTATTACTAATCTCGGGTATAGCAAAAAGATTTAGAGGGATAGAATACAGTGGCATATTGTCATTATGTACGTTTATGGATTCACGATATAAAGTGCAGGGATTTTCTGATAAAAATGACGCTAAAAAAACAAAAGAAAGAGTTGAGAAGCTGGTTACTTCTATAATTAAAGAACAAGAACATTGTACTATTGAAAATCAACCAGTATAAGAAAAAGAAACCGATAAAGATGACTTAAGTCCATGGTGTATTTTTGATCAATTAATTGGACATGACTCATCTAAACGTACATCTGTAGCGAGAGTCCATTACAATGGTGGAAAAACCGTCGCTATGTATCTCCTAACTTAACCACTATATTCATAAAGTATTGTAAATGTGAACACATGTTCAAAATCAGGTTTAATTTTAAACAAAAGAAAAACACGGTTAATAAGAAGTAAAGTAAAAAAACTTATGTTTTTAAATGTCAATTTAGACGATTCGTGATTTAATAAAAACGTGTAATGTAAACGTAGGTACGATTTACTATTTGTATTGTTTAGTTTAGTTTTCAAGTTATAATAAAATCTTTTATTAATTTCCTTCACTTCAATAAATATACACATAAACGATAATAGCCATTATGTTTGTTTATGTAGGTAGTTTTTTACTTGAAACTACTATTAAAAAATCATAGTTACTTGTTTACAAAAATCGGTTTTGCGACGTCAATGACCCACCTCTATTCATAAATACCTGTGTAGGTACGCTTTGATTCGGTGATTTGACCACGCGACAGGCCACGTTGGCAAATAGTTTTGTACGAAGCTTTTTTATTTATATGCAGGTTAATATTTTTTTTGGAAATAAGGCATAATGTCATTTTAAAATAAGCTAATTTTGATGTTTAGATTTTTAATTCGGAAATCGTTTTTAAAATACCAAACATTAATAAATTTTATTTATTTAAAACGATTTCCGAAGTATAAATCAAAATGTTATATTACACTTATTGTAAAGTAAAATTGTGGCATATTCCCAATAAAAAACAATAGGCTGCCATTTAAATCCATTTCGCCCAAATTTCATTATCTTGGAGCATTGTTCAAATGCGAAAAAGACAACAGGTCAAATAAAACCCATAAGTTTGGCAACGTTGAATTTCCCCTTTTTATTATATCCACTCCATATCCACTTATTTATGTTCGGTGATATAAAGGGCGGACACCTAATATATCTCTCTCTTTTTAAACAGTTGTTTCTCACTCCATCTCATGTAAGGTCCATACCGACCATAAACTTTTACCTATACTGTATATATATATATATATATATATATATATATATATATTATATATATATATATAATATACGCTTTATGCGTATTGCTATTTGAGCTTTATAATTCTTACTTTTTATAATAATTATGTTTGTCAGAGTTTCACTTTAAATTAATATAGGTTTGGAATTTTATGAATTTTTTAGATGTGTTGTTAGCGGATGGGGTCAAACAGCTTTTACTACTTTTGATGCCCCTACTAACCCACAGAAACAAGCATTTGTAACTATTACTAACTACGCTACCTGCAGGGCCTCCTATGCTGCAGCAAATTTATTGGGTACTAATGTAGATACCTATTTGGATCAAAACGGAGAAATTTGTGCAGGAGGTGTAAGCATGCTGGACGCTTGCACGGTAAGTTATAATATTAGTTTAAAACTTACATTCTCATTACTTTAATAAATCATTACCTTTCTGTATTCATTATTGTATCTTTTCTTAATACTATGTCTAGAAGAATTTATTCATTCTTTTTCAAGAATAGGATGAAAAATCTTTAAAGTTAATTCCCTAAACATTATGTTTTTATTTTTAAATTATGATTTTTGGTATGAATTCTATTCCCAGAGGCTCTAAAACATAAAATAAAAAATTTATTGCAGGTAAAATTAGCAGTCGATGTTCAAATAGAGAATGCTGTGAAGCTGGTAGAAAAAGTCTGCCTGGTTGAGCTTGAAAAGGAAGAGGCCAAAGGAAAAGTCATGCGAAACTAAAGCAAATTAAGAAATCGAAGAGAAAGTCTAGTTTATATCAACGATGACCTATCAAAGAAGGACAGAATTGTACAGTAATATTTTAGACAGAAAGCGCTAGAACTAAGAAAGGAAGGGAGAAAAGTGAAAGTAGGATATACGAAAATATATTTCGAGCAGGAAATATGGTGCTGGGATGTCATGAACCAAACGTTGGTGGTATAGACCAAAGCTGAAAACTAAGCACCAGCATAAAAAGGAAAGAAATTATGACGAACAATGCGAAGAAAAGGATTACGAACTATAAAAACAAAACAAAACAAGACAATAATACAAAGGTAAAGCCGAAGAATAACAAGATACAAAGAGACAAAGTGTAATGTCAGAGAAACCTTTTACGAAAGTGCGCTAAAAGAACTAATGAATGAGGCAAGGAAATATAAAATCGATTTAATGGCTCTTCAAGAGACAAAACAATTAGAATCGGAAATAACTGATATAGAAGATATGGTGCTCTGTAAAAGTGGAAGTAAAGATAGAATGCTTGGAACTGGTTTTTTAGTAGCTGAATGTATCAAGAACAAAGTGATAGTTTTTAATTATATTTCTGATAGGATGTGTTCACTAAGAATTCCAAGTAAGAAAAGGAATGGAGTATAATTAATATCCATGCACCGTCAGAAGACAAGGACGACGAAGTAAAAGATATTTACTATGAACAACTAAATGGTATCTAAAATGATACCTAAACGTGATGTAAAAATCGGTGGATAACCGTGGATAAACTATGTGACAACAACATTTGCAGACGATAGGAATGTCACCATCACACAAAATAAAAATGACGATACCGGACCACATATTCTCGAAGAGGAAGTAGAAGCTGCTATAAACAATATTAAGGAGGGAAAAGCCGCAGGACCAGATGAGTTCTACTCAGAATTTTTGAAAATTATGGATAAACACGAAGTAAAAAGACTTACCTTAATCTTCAACAATATATACCAAAGTGGAAAAATACCCCAACAGTGGCTAAGATCAACTTTTATAACAATCCCTAAAAAACCCAATACCAAAAAATGTGAAGATTATCGAATAATAAGCCTTATGAGTCATCTCCTGAAAACTTTTTTAAAAATTATACACAAAAGAATATACAAAAAGTGTGAAGAACACATGACAAACACACAATTCGGCTTCAGGGATGCATTGGTACTCGAGAGGTACTTTTTGCAATACAAGTTCTCTTTCAAAAGATGTAGAGACGTGAATTGTGATATATATGTGTGTTTTAAGGATTACCAAAAAGCGTTCAATAGAATAAAACATGACGAACTGATGAAAATATTAAATTCAATTGGTCTAGACAGCAGAGATCGCTGTATAATAAACAATATCTATTACGAACAAACTGCAGCTGTTAGAGTTGGGGATCAGCTAACAGACGATATAAAGATAAAAAGAGGTGTACGACAGGGATGTATATTGTCCCCATTATTGTTCAATACATATTCAGAGCACATTATAAACCTAGCGCTAACGGATATAGACGAGGGAATACTTATAAACGGAGAACGATTGAACGCTGATGATACTGTCATTTTTGCAGACAGTCTTGAAGATCTGCAGACACTTGTCTCCAGGGTGGCAGAAGTAAGTAGCAGGTTTGGGCTTGATTTTAACATCAAAAAAACCAAATACATGGTTATAAGCAAAAATAGGATACCACCTGGTCAATTACTAGTTAACCAACAACCTATATCACAAATCACCAACTTTTGTTATCTGGGTGCAAACTTAAATGAACAGTGGGATCAATCGACGGAAATTAAGATAAATATCGAGAAGGCAAAATCAGCTTTCGTCAAAATGAAAAAAATTTTATGACATAAAATTGGAAATAAAAGTTCGTTTACTAAAATGCTACGTATTTTCCGTTCTTCTATATGGCGTAGAGTCATGGACCTTAACTGAAGCATTACTGAAGAGACTCAAAGCATTTGAGATGTGGTGCTATAGATGCAGGATTTCCTGGATAGACATAACTACCAACGAAGAAGTACTACATAGAATGGGTAAAAAGTGTGAACTAGTCGTAACCATAAAACGTGGCAAATAAGAATACCTGGGCCAGATAATTCGCAATGAACAACGATATGACCTACTTCGGACCATACTTCAAGGTAAAGTGCATGGGAAAAAAGTCCAGGATGGAGAAGAATATCCTGGCTGCATAACCTGCGAAAGTGGTTTAACATAACCACTACCAGACTTTACAGGGCAGCAGTAAACAAAGTCAGAATAGCCATGGTAGTGTCCAACATCCGTAACGGATAGGCACTATAAGAAAAAGATGTAAAAATAATAATGGGTGATTGTAATGTTAAGTGGAAAAAGATCCTCTGTACGCTGCAGTAACTAGTAACTATAGTAAACACGAAGTAACAAACGATAATAGTCAAAGACTTATTGGATTTGCCAAGGAGAAAAACATGGTGGTGAGAAGCTAACCGAAAAGAGATATACAAACGGACGTGGATCTTCCCAGATGGAAGGACGGAGAATCAAATAGATCATGTTGTTATTGAAACTAAATATATAAATATCTTTCAGAAGGTAAGAAGTATAAGAGGAGCTAAAATCGACCCGAAGCACTACCTCGTTAAAGTCACATGTGGGAGGAGGCTGAAAGAAAAAGAGAAATCGAACAATAAAACGAAGAGAAAGTTCAATATTGAAAAACTTAAGGAAGTAGAAATAAAAAATAAACATGAAGAAGAAATAAATAAAATTCTACAACAATGTGACCAAAATTTACAGACAGATCAAGCCTGGGAACAAATTCAATCTGCCGTAGGAGAAGCTAGCGAAAAAATAGTTAAGTGCGACTCCCAGAAAAGTACAAACAGAGATTGGTTTGACGAAGAGTGTCAGGCGATAGCAAAGGAACAGAAGAAGATCAGACACAAATATTAACAGATAATAGAGAGTGTAGAAAACAAGAATATAGAATAATTCGAGCATGAATGAAAGCTCTGTGTAGAAGGAAAAAGAGATACCACAATAAGTTGAAATTAAAAGAGATAGAAGAGAAGTTTAAAAACAAACAAGTGAAGTCGTTCACCAGAAGCCACTGATGAAAGGTAAAGACGGAAATTGAATAAGCAATCCGGCAGAAATAATGACGGAACGGAAAAAACATTTTGAAGGATTATTAAATGGTGAGGAGGTGGAGCACGAAGCAGTAGACAACTGGACGGTTGGAGAAGATGCGATAGTTGAAAGGCAGCCTACAGAGGAGGTGGTGGTGACAGCAATACAAGAAATGAAAAATAACAGAAGTCCTGTTAAAAATGACATATGCATAGAAATGATCAAGTTTGGTGGAGAACAACTACAAAGAAAATTATATCAGCTACTAGTGCAAGTATGGAAAAAGGGAATAATGCCATCGAAGTGGTATGAGCTCCGCATATGCCATCTGCATAAAAAAGGAGACAAACTAAAGTGTGGCAACTATAGAGGTATAGCTATATACCGGACCGTATAACTATACGGACAGAATCCTACATGAGTATCAGGCTGGCTTTAGAAAGGACAAATCTACTGTAGACCAAATCTTCTCATTAAAGGAGATACAAACGACTTGTTATGAAGGTAAAGTTCCCCTGCACGTTTTGTTTGTGGATTGTAGACAAGCATATGATAGAGTCGATAGAGCCATTACATTATTCAACTTAGTGTTTAGAAACTGTCATCAGAAAATGCAGCAGAAAGGTGGAAAGAGCTGTAGTTTTAAAAGGGTGGACAAATTTAAATACCGGGTGTAGTTTTTGATGAAAATGGAAAGGAGAAATGGAAGCTCGAAGCCAGAATAGCAAAAGGGAATAAAAAATTAGGTAGTTTAATAACCCTACTGAACTCAAAATGCGTTTCTAGACAAGGTAAACTCAGAATATATAAAACAGTAATTCGACCCACATTAACATATTATGCCGGTGAGAAATGGACATAAATAAGAAGAAGGAGGAGGATACTCTGGAAAGATGGGAAAGGAAAATATTGAGACGCATATTTGAAGGACGAAAGACAGAAGATGGTTGAGAGAGAAGAACCAACAATAAATTAAAGGCTTTACACAAAGAACCTACCATTACCAAGTTCGTCAAGGCACAAAGAATCAGATGGTTGGGACATGTGGAAAGGATAGTAGCAAACAGAATGCCTAAACTAGTAATAACCAGAAAACTAATTGGCCCCAGAAGAAGAGGTAGACATAGAACGGGGTGGATTAGTAAAGTGGAGGAAGACTTTAAACACGTGAAGGTGAGGGACTGGAAAACAAAAGCACAAAATAGAAGCGAATGGAGAAATATTGTCCACCAGGTCCTTCAGAGTAGTTAAGAATGTTGTATATACATATTTAAGTTAAAGTTTTGTTTAAAATAATTCTAATTGGTTAATATTAGGATTATGTTTTAAAAAAATGCCCTAGGCCTTAACGGCCTGTTGTGCATAAAAAAATATTTTTGATATAAACAGTGTGACACATTTAGATTGGAAACACCTTTATAACAATTAAAGTTAGTAACTTGTTTTAACTTTAAAATGTTTATTAAAATTTCCGAGCCGTACCACAATACTTTGTCTTAATCGAAAAAG